CCCCCTTGCAATGTGGTTGTGAGCAGACGCGAGTTACCGCAAGGCACGTACGGATGCTGCTCCAGCCCGCCGCTCCTGCCCCTGGGTTCCCTCCTCCTCCTCCTCCTCCTCCTCCTCCTCGACCTCCTCCTCCTCCTCCTTCTCCTCCTCCTCCTCCTCCTCTTCCTCCTCCTCCTCCTCCTCCTCCTCCTCCTCCTCCTCCTCCTCCTCCTCCTCCTCATCATCATCATCATCATCATCATCATCAGCATCCATTCCTTTTCCTTATGAATGCCTCCTTATTCCTTGTCCTTTTTTCCTCCTCACTGTCGCACCCCGAGGCCAGTCGAAAAGGCGGGCTGGACGTTTGGCCTCAGACGTCCTGACCTCTTGTGAGCCTAAAACAGAAAAAAAGCAACAGTTTCACTGATGGAGGACTGGTCGCTTCCAAAATACGGCTCTCACCTTAGCGCTGGGTTCCGTCGAAAAAAATGCGCCAGAGCTTCACTGATTGAGGACAGGTGGTTTTCAAAATGCGGTTTTCGCCTGAACGCCACGCACACTCGCTTTAAAAATGCTAGAGGTTCACGGGTTAAGCGCGCTTCGCTTTCAAAATGTGGCTCTCGCATCAGCGTCGCGCACATTAGTTTTAAAAAGTTGCCAGAATCCCACTGATTGGATGCGGCTCGTTTTCAAAATTGGCTCTCGCCGTAGCGCCGCGCAATGCAAATGCGTCACGGATTGAGGGCGGCTCCGTTTCAAAATGTGGTTTCGCCTCAGCGCCCCGCACATTCGTAGAAAACATTTGCAAGAGACTGGTGCTCGTGGCTACCGTGCCAGAAATGGTGTTTGCGGGCGATTCAGGATTTCCAGGGCGCAACCGCCGAGCTGCTCCTCCTCGGGCTCGCGGGGTTGAAGTCCCGGGGATGGCGTTCTGGCACGATTCAGGATCGTCAAGACGCAACAGTCAGGTCGACTCGTGACGTTGAAATTCTGAGAATGGTGCTTTGGCACGATTCCAGGGTTTCACGCGGCTGTCCCCAGACGGAGCACTTCCCTCAGTGGAAAAGACACCTTGTACGGACCCTTGAAGAGGGAGCTTGGAGGGAGGGTGTATTCCAGCATCGCTGATGCGTCTTGGGTTTACTCTGGTCCTCCTAATCCTCCTTCTCCTCCTTCTCCTCCTACTACTGCTACTCCTCCTCACCCCCTCGTTATCTTACTCCCGCCTCCCCCTGCGACGTGGGCAAGTGGCTAGGAGGAAGTCTGGAGCCTACTATGAAGACATCGGTGTGCGAGAGAATGTAAGAACCTTCTAAGTCCTCCTCGCCCCCCCCTCGTGCCTCCTCGATTATATGCCCGCCCTGCTCCTCTTACCCCTCCGCCTCATCATCCTCCACCTCCGCCACCACCATCTCGTCCACCTCCTCCTTCTCTTCCTCCTCCTCCTCCTCCTCCTCCTCCTCCTCCTCCTCACCACCACCACCACCACCACCACCATCATCATCATCATCATCATCATCATCATCATCATCATCATCATCATCATCATCATCATAATAATCAGCAGCAGCAGCATCAGCATCATCATCATCAGCCATCATCATCAGCCATCATCATCATCAGCAGCATCAGCATCAGCATCAGCATCGTCATCATCATCAGCATCATCATCACCACCATCATCATTATCATCATCACCATCGTCATCATCAGCCATCCTCATCATCATCAGCAGCGTCAGCAGCATCAGCAGCATCATCATCATCATCATCATCATCATCATCATCATCATCATGAGCAGCATCATCATCATCATCATCATCATCAGCATCATCATCATCATCATCATCATCATCATCATCATCATCATCATCATCATCATCATCATCATCATCATCGTCATCAGCATCAGCAGCATCATCAGCAGCATCAGCAGCAGCAACAACATCATCATCATCATCATCATCATCCGCATCTTCCCTTCTCCGTTATCCGCCACCGCGCCATGGGCACTGACTGGAGTGTCCGTAGATCCCCCTGAGCTCTAAGCAGCGAGCAGTGCAAACACCGTTGAAGGCCAGGGCCCCGAGTTCCACAGATGTCGGGGCGCTTCCAGGGCTCCTGGGATTTCGCGTGGGTCCCAGAGGTGTCTTCAAGACTCCGGCGGGTTCGCAAGACTTCCCACCAGGAAGTGTGATGAGATTGGCTGCAATCGCCGCGTAGCTTTTTCTGGAGTCCTCGGGAGCGTTGCTCGCGGCACGTCTCTCAACGTACCTAGGAGGGGGGGGGGCCCTGGGGCCCGTCCTGGCGAGCCCTTTTGGTGGCCTAGGTGCCGTCTCGGGGGCCCTCGGGGCCGGCCAAAAGAGACGCGGCTGTCCACCTCCCAGTTCTGCCGAGAGTGCACCAGTTCCGCACAGTCGCCTTCTCTATCTTCAGGGCGTCCAAGACTGCCCAAAGAGGAACCCAGTCGACAGCCAGAGGGCCCTCAAGAGGGGCCCAAGAGGCCCCCGACGAGAGC